ACCTCCCCGCACAGCTTGGCCTCTGGAACTTTACTCCTTGAGAGAGGCTGGACTCTCTACTACTCTGGAGTTGCATACAATAACCCCACCACAATTGACCTACATGAACAGACTGAGTTGGATTAAGTGAAAAGAAATCCAGTTCTTCTGACCAAAATCCCAGATTCTCTTGCAAGTTATTTTAGTGAAAAGTTCATTCTCAGCCTTATTTTCTCAGGAAAATACACAGTCAGTAGAAATGTCAAATTGCAAATAATTAGTAGGAAAGTATAGAACTTTGTCAATGCACTTTCCTGTAGACACTTTAATTGACAAACAGCAGTCCAACTGCAATAGACAGATGTGCTTTATTAGTTTCACTTCCTCCATAGTAAGCAAGGAAAGTCATAGCAGACCTTTTCACAGTCACCATCTGGTATCAGCCGCTTAGACTGCATCTATAGGATCTTTAAGAATTTTCTGTTTTGATACATATAACCTATCTTACAGAATAGAATGAAATGCCAAATCAGTGAAAAATACAGTAAGTACTTTGGTTGTTTAAAAATGTAAGGCAGTCCTATCTGTCAACGTACAAAAATGTATTTAAAATGAAAACGATCACATACACATTCATTTTAAGTCATTACTTAAATAGCTAAATGTGTAGGTAAGTCTACTGCTCACACAATAACCTGGTCTCCTTACTTCTTTGTTGTGGTGTAAAACTAGAAGCTTTTTCTTATACAGCAGGAACATGTACTTTCAATGTCTAAAAGTTCAGATTTTTAAAAAGTGTCTGTATTTTCAGGTAAGCAATTAAACCAACAGAATAAATAGTAAAAAATGTTTGTTTCACCTTGAAGTTTCATTTGTCCTGTGGAAGGAAGTGCCAGGAAACAGATTTACAGCAATTCTGATACAAAAATCTCATTATAAGATAAATGTTTTGTGAAGTGTGTGTTTTTCCCCAAACCATGTCCAAAGTGTTTGTGATAATGGTAGTGTGGATCAAGGTGCTATAGGTAGTGACGGCTGGAGTAACCTGCCCAAGAACAGGAATGACATTTAGAAATATGCATTGTGCACATTTTAATGCATGTAAATCATACAGGGCCCACTGTAATAACCTGATCATTTGATATTGTGGCTTTAACTTACTTAAAAACAGACAAATGGCTACAAACCAAGAGATACACAATGGGTCTCTGGTTACCAGCAACCAGTCAAAGCACTGCTGGTGTGAAAAGATCTCGGTTGTTCCTAGGCCACATCAGATGCTTGAAAAGCATCAGTTTGTTAGAAGCCTGTGCCATAGCTGAGCTGCTCTCACCGCTATTTCAATCCCATACTATATCAACTACATTACTATTGTGTAATATCATACAGTCATTCACACCCTACACCAGCCCTGGTGAGATTTAGCTCGAATGATTTGACGTCATCCTGTTCCTTGTCAGAATCTAAATGTGCAGCGTGTCAAACCAGAGACACATTGACATAGTACAAATATTTGTTATATCAGCATCAAAACATCCAAGTACTTAGACAGCTACTGTATATTTTCTTCATATGATGTAGTCCTACGAAGAGGGAACAATAGGCATCTACAGGGAAATGAAAGGAGTCAGTGAATTCAGTCAGAAGGATGAGGATAGGGGGTCAACGCAAAATCAGTTAAAAGTAACGAGTCCAGCCTATCAGTCAACTCATGAACTCTTCCAGCAGCATTCTCCTCGTAACCAGTGTTTAGTGGCCTAGGACTGGACCACCAATGTGTGTGTGCTCTGCTGCATATACTGTTTAAAAGCCCCACTGGGCACAAACAAAGATTTTTGAATAGAACCGAACTGGGCTTGGTATTTACAGTGTCAACTAAAGGCAGTTAGTGTGGTGGCCTGCAGTGAAAAGAGCTCAAGCACCGAGTCCAAACTCAGAACATGGCTCCTTCTGATTTGGTAAAAACAACATAATAATTGTCAGAACTGAAAGTCAGAGGAACATAGGTGCTGCACACATTTCTTTTACAGGAATGAGTGATTTCAAAAACATTTCTAATTTTCATTGACAGCATTGCTTTCACATGATTCAGCATACTGATACAGTAACTGCAGCTGGTTCAACCTGCACTTAGTTTCAGGTTTCAGTCCCTCTGCTGAATGGCTCAAATGCACAGAGGTTGAGAATAAAATGTTGTATTTGACCTTTAACCTCTGACAACAGCACAGTTTGACCTCTGAGTTTCCATTCCAGGGGCATTATTTCCAATCGTGCCAGGTCGACATCCGGCGGCCATCGGCCCCGTCACGGGGGACTGCAATTCCACTCTAAAGTCTGTAGTGTAAGTTGGTTTGAGTGGTGGTCAGGCAGCTGTGAAGACACAACAGCAGATGTTTGTCTATAGGTGTATGTGTAATGCCATGTGTCCTCTTGGCTGTCATGTCCTTTCTGGTAAGGGGTCTTCTCAAGAAGCTTTCCATGTGCTGTCTGCTGGATACATCTGCAATGTGCTTCAGATACCACTGAATACTGACTGTGTTTGATTTTACAATCAAACACAGTCAGTATCTCCCTTGACCTCAGCTATTGATGTCTCTGGTCCATTTGATCATAGTCTCTGGAGATCGATAGAGGAAGATGAGTTTGGAGTAAAGTTCCTCTTCCAACTCCAGCTCTCCTGTTTCGCGCACCTGAAAACACAAAAACTTAAATCTGTGAATTTCAAAGAGAGAAAGCAATCTGTGCTAATGATTAGATCTGGGGATGATAACATATTTCTTGGTTCAAATTTGGAAAATTCATTTTACTCAACTTTCATGTGTTGCACATGAGAACATGTGCATGCACGTGCAGTACATGTGTGGTAATATGCACACTGCAGACTAACCAGAAAAATGTCTGTACAGAGCTTCAGGATCCGGTCCACACAGGGCAGCTCCTCAAACATGATGGAGTGGGAGATCTCACTGAAGAACCCGCGCACAAACTTCCCAATGACCAAGACCACAGACACATACAGACCCATGATTCTGGGAGGTGACATTAGAAAAGAAAGTTTACAAGTGTGAGAAAAAACACAAGCTGCTCCTTAAAACATTTACTGATTTTTGTCAATTACATATGCATACATCCGACCCACGGACATGTAGTTTGTGAGTGTGTTCTCCTTACCCATATCCAGCCAGGAAACCGAGGCTGGGTGGACTGACTTTGTCATTGAATATGACCATGGGTAGAACCTCACATGAGGAGAGGGCACAGCCTGCAATGGCTATGTCCCACCATTCCTGGTTTTTGCTGTCATTCAGTGACCTGTCACTCATCAGGGATAGGGTTATATTCAGGAAACTATCTTCATTACCTACAAGACAACCAATCATTGTGTTTAAACAGACATGTTAAGGTGTGAAAAACCAATAGAGAAGCTGATATCCAATCTATTTCATTAACCCAGCAGAGCAGCACATATCACAGTGCTTCACCCAGCGCTCGGGTGGTATGCCAAAGGTACTTCTTGTAGATATGTGGCCAGGTTCACCTGGTGCATCTGTAGCACACTTGGATATGGGGTGAAATCAGAAAGAATGCATTATCATACATTATACTGTAGATGGCTGTGTTTGAGGCTATGACAGTCATGTGATGCACGGAGAGACTGGGAATCCTGTGGAGAGTTTTCCACAGAGGATATTTATTGTTGCCTGGGAAGTGCAGTTTCAAATATGAATACAGCAGCTCCAACATACTGCACAGAGCAGATGATCACTGTTTAAGCTGAATTCACATATCCCACCATCCTACCATCATGATTTCCATGCACAAGAATGTGTGACTTTATCTCTCACCATAATGATCCATACAATAAAAAATTAAATACCATTGCAGTGCTATATTTAAATGACGTGTTGAAATGATCAGTTTGTTGTTGATATACTGCATCCTGTGCTGTGCATTACAATGAAAACAGAACCCTGTCATCCATCCATCCATTATCTATGCTGCATATCCTAGAGGGCTATGAGAGTCGAGATTGTGCGAGAAGCCCTAATATGCCTTGAACAGGAGGCCTAGCATTTACTGTAAATGGGAAGTAGGCTGTTGGTTGCTATGTTGCCATCTAGTGTTTATTCTTCTTCAAACACCCAAACAGGCACTTTATCAGCATTGTGGTATTATTGTTGTGAGACACAATGTTCTGTATCACATCAGGAGGGTATTCTTCTTATGCTGCTAAATAAATTCAAGATCAAATGAGTAAGGCTGGGTTTTGTAAAGCAGGCTGACAATGTCTGGAATTATGGCTCTTCAGCCATCACCTGCGTTGTGGATTAGAAAAGCTGAATTCAATCATCTGAAGTAAGTGAACGGCACACTCTGATGGTTACTGCCTAGACTATGTACATTGACAATCAAAACCAGGATCATCATCAGGTTTTTTACTGGCTACACGCAAATGTCCAAAGAAAGAGCACAGTCTGTCACTGTAGCAGAGCGAGAGTTTTTGCTGGAAGGCTGCAATAAATTTAAAGATTTTATTTATGCATAAGGCAAAAGTGGCAAAAATGTGGAGAGATGGATGGCAAGGGCAATATAGTTGTTTACAATTTGTAACTACATTTATCACTTGTATGTTGTTTTGATCAAAATAGTTTGTTTCAGGGCAGCAGGTGACGCAGACCTTTGTGCCTTTCTGTGTGGATTCTGCATGTTCTCCCTGTGCCTGCGTGGGTTCTCTCCGGGTACTCCAGCTTCCTCTCACAGTCCAGAGACATACAGCTTAGGTTGACTGGTGACTCTATATTGTCCATGAGTGTGAGTGTGTATGGTTGTTTGTCTACATGTCAGCCCTGTGATGGACTGGTGACCTGTCCAGGGTGGACCCCGCCTTTAGTTTTATCATGGAAATGATTCTGCTGATTTAATATTTGTCAAGTTGTGTAGTTGTGTTGTAACACTGTGCGTTCTGACCTTTGTATAACTGATTGACTGGTTTGGCCTCAGCTCCATTGGGGGCACGGATGTAGTTAGGAAACATATTAGGAACGTGCCTGGAAAAAAAATGAAAACAAGGCACCATCTGTAGGATAAAACCAGACACATAACATTGTATTCACATAAACATCCATCCAGAGAGTAGACCTACACAGGCTCAGTGCGATTTCCAACCAGAAGTGAGGCCAACTCTGCTCTGACTGGGTTCCCAGGTTCCAGGTCTATAGAGTGTTTGTCAAAGGTGTGTTCCACCGTCCCTCCTTTACCTAGGTCCCTGTCAGAGAAAGAAATATTCAGTGAGAAAGACTTTGAGAGCGTAACCATTTGAGGATACATCACATACAGCATACAGAGTCATATCACTGCTATAGCAGAGAAACTGCATTAGAGAAAACTATTTTGAAAATATTAACAGCTGTCTCAGTGTTAATTACTGTATGTGTACAGTGGTTTGAGCTACAGCTCATTTTAAGGTTGGTTAGTTCAACCGATGAGCCTGGAAACTCTGCAACCCAGTGGATATGTAACTGACTTTTTTTTTTTTTTTAGCCACTAGCATTCCTAAGCCTGTCCAGCTCATGAGCATGTTTTTAAGTAACTTTGTAAATGTCAGGTATGGTTTAATTAATTTAATAATGATTAATTCAGTTTTATTAGTCATCTTTTTAAAGGATAAGGCTAGTATAGTGAAGCACACTACAACACTGGGTGTGTTTCACTATACTAGCCTTATCCTGATGTGTTTTTTTAATAGTTTTTAAACAACAGCAGAGGTCTACGGCACAGACAAACAAGCTAATCCAGGGCTGACACACTGGTAGACATTAACTGTGAGTAGAGGCGGTTCATTGTAGGGCTTTCTCTCTGTATAGAGATGACTGAAAATACTATGGCAATAGAAAATGACTGGTCTTATCCTTTAATGAAGTTAGTTTGTCACAGAGTTATACATGTTGTTATTTTGTTACTGTGTACAACCATAAGCAGGCAGTAAACTGCAGTTTGTTATTATTGTCAACAGGTTTCACTGTAGATCTTAAAATGTCCCTGTGCTTTCAATTCTTTCAAGCATTTATGGTTCAGCTTATAACAAAATGACATATCCCAGTATTCTTGGGTCTACTGTAAACAGCTGCATGTCAGTTTTTTATTTTTTTAAGAATGTCTTTATAGCAACAGTCCAGCCCCAATGAAAACTTACTTCTAAACTGCTGTACCCTGCTTTCTAGCTCACCCAAATATAGTATTCTATAACTGTTTCTGTTCATTTCCCTTATGCCGGTAATTAGGCACTGATTACAACAGCTGAAACTTTAATAGAATTTCAACTATTCAGCTTTGGCATGCTAATGTTACTTAGTATAATGCAATTTTGTAGTAAGGACAGCAAAGATTTTACCTCTGGAAAGTCCAGGCTAGACGTAGTGTTAGGTCAACATGACTTCCAAGTAGTTCCTTAATGAGTTCCTGTCTGCTGGGGGGGCTGATCCTCCATACTGATCCTGAACTACCTTCAATCATGGCCGTTACAATGTCCTCATAACTGTAGAGTGTGATGAACTGCATGGCTGCCTAAATGCATATACACACAAAGTGATGCATGAAAAATAGGTATACAGACTGGCAGTAACTTAAGCAAGACACACACACACACACACATACAAACTCACAATAATGACCAGGGCCCATATTTATCAAACATGTCAGAATCACTCCAAGGAATCAAGTTGTCAGGTCAGGACACAGAATGAGGATATTATGAACTAAAGTTTACTGAAGGCGTCTAGTATACAGGGAGGTTACACCAGTTTGAAAAAGACAGGTAAATGGGTACAGGCTTGTGAGTGTTTAGTAATGTGGTCTATAACAGAAAGCATCTGTTACGAGTAAGGCGAATTAAATACACTGCGTAACTTACATATACTGTTTGTAGCATCTTACACCATTGTGGAAATAGCTCTGTAGCTATATAGAGAGAAAATATACCAACTAGGAAACACAACTTATATAAGCAACAGTCTCTGGAGCAGTAAGCTTAAAGGATAAAGCTGGCCATTTTCTACACTACCGGTGTTTTCAGCAGTCCCCATACAAGGACTAAAGTTTTATGCTTATGCTTGAAACACACTGCTGCACTGGATGGGTTCCTCATTACAAAACACCAGACCCAGATTATTATTTTCTTTTATATAAATTTTGCCCCCTCCCATTTTGAGAGTTTTTGGTCAGCTAGGAGTGATTTCCTATTGTGAAATGTTTGAAAAACAGGGCACCGGGGATATGTTAAAAGTTGCATAAGATCTCTCTGTTTACACCAAGTCCTTTGAATCAAGTGCTGCAGTAGTGAGCCGTAAAACCTGGAAACCTTGTGATTTTAAATGCTTTTACATGCCTTAAAAAAGGTGTTGCTAACAAGTGGCTAAATGAGACTTCAGAGGCTGTCTGGGATTTTACACATCATCACGGAAACTCAGCTACTCACTAGCTGGCATCTACAGCCTCATTATGCTTAAACTTGCAAACTATTTTGATTGCCCAAGAAGTTAAAAATGCTATATTTGAACAAGTGTCTGTTGAACAGGTGACAAATTCTGTGAAAGGAAGACGATGATGATGAAAAACATGTATATAGAAATAAAACTGAAGTGAGTACGCACTGCGTTATCTCCAAACGTTTTGGTGAGTTGGTCATACTCAGCCTCTGTGAACGGCTGGATGGACTGTTGCTGTACACTCATGGTGAACAGGGGCTGGATACACACACAGACACCAAAGATTATGCACATTTTAAACACTGTGTCATGCTGTGTTTTACATTTGAACCTCTATTCCATTTGGCATCAACTGAGCTTTATATAAACTGTGAAGATCCACTGATGCTGAATTAATTTCCATCTCTGCAAAAAATCTATCTTGCATGCTGACATCTGGAATATACATGTTAACCCTGCTTCTGTGAGGACTGGCAGAAGGCTCTAATCTGTTTATCTTCCCACTTTCCATCTTCCTTTGTGTACTTGACAGATGAACAGAACAAGTACAGCTTCAAAACATACCAAAGAAATGAGTCTATAACTTTGCATGCTGTTTCTATTTGAAGAGAGCACAAGAGTAGAACTGCAATCGAATTACAGTAGAAAGACTGCTGAATAAAATGTTGATTACCTCATATCCTCCTAGCTTGACAGTGACTGTGACATCGATGGGGTGATTGACTACACCCACCACTGATCTGACCAGTGAAATGAAGAGAAGGGGAAACCAGATGATGCAGATCAAGAAGATGATGATGAGTCCACCCATGCCATATTTCACAATCTTCTTCTTCTTCTGCCCTTTAGGCTGCGGGTATTTCTGAGGGCAGAAAATATGACTTTTAGAGATAATATATTGAAATTATTTTTGAAACTAGCTAATAATTCAATGTTGAGTTGTTTCTTTGTTTACAAGCCTAACAATCATTTAGGGAGATTTGGAACAAACATCTCCCCAAACAATAAGGTGGTGATCCTGGGAGCTGTGTTGTCGGGGTCATTAGCCCCTGGTAGGGACTCCCAAGGCAAAGGGGAAGGAAACAGGGCTAGTAAAGGAGATGGAGCAGTACCCACTAGACAAAGTCAGTAACAGTAGGTTCTGGCACCAAACTCCTGCACTGGGACTAAACTCTCGATTTCCTGAGTTTCCCAGTGTAAGAGAGGGGGTTATGTTTTATGTATGTCACAGAAAGGCAGAAAGAAAATGAAGGGCGAGACAGAGACAGGGTCCCAGAAGGATTGGCCTGTCTGACATAAACCTGAGTGGAGCTATGGTATTTTACTTTCCCTAATGTTCTGGCCTCAGTGGTAGAGAGCCACAGTTCATTTCTGTTGAGTGCTTTTACCCAACATTAGCCAATTATTATTGAAAGCCTTATTGAAAAGATGCCCAAAAACTAAAGGGAAATGTGGTATGTAAGATAGTTAGCCATGTATGTTTGAAATAAAGCAGAGCAGAGTAACCTAGGATTTACATTGTTACCCTGACTACCTACGCTGTCACATTCACTGTTGTCTGCACAGTTACTGCAGGCAGATGCACAGCTGTATGTAGACTAGTTATCTGTGAACTATATGTTTGTTTTTTCTTTACTTTACTATTCATGAACCAAAAACGGTCCAATTGCATCCTGTATTGACTAAATACAGCACAGAACATTTTATTTATAGAAATGGATAAGGATAATCACCTTTATTGGCCAAGTATGTTACACACAAGGAGCACTGTCTGTAGATGCCTGACCTAAATCTTTTATCTGATTACATGCCTTAAGGGACAGCAGACAGGAAGAAATCAGTAGGAATTTTCAGTACAAATCTTCCTTATTAGCATTTTATTTCGTGTCAGAATCTGTGCCATATTGTGAACAAATCCTCAACTGTGGACCAGCACTATGTGGACAGAAAATCACCAAGTCATTTACAAACATAAGGTGGTTAAGGATAGAACTAGAAAACCACACACTGTGTTCCACATCCATGTAACTGCACTAACAGAGCATTTATATACCGCAAATGTTAAAAAGCTCTGCCTGCTACATCATGTCATTTTACTCCTTTGTTATAACTACTACAGCCACTAGAGGTCACCTAAAGTTTATATTTATAGGTGTATTAACAACTGATAATAACCACTGAACTGTGTTCAATATCCAAATCAGACCAATCTACAGGTGTTTAATCAACTACACAGAAAAGACCGGACATTCTCCAAGTGCTGAGCAGTAGCACTGACATTTCTGCAAAACTCCAGGTCACATGATCACACTCAAGGATGATACATTTTGCAGTAGATGGAAAAAAGCATAACCAATAGAAAGAGGGCACCCTCGAAATAACTGGAAGGTGTTTTTTGAATACAGGCAGGCCTGTGTGTGTGCGCCTCTGCCAACTAAAGCCATAAATATTGGTCTGAGTAGGTTTTCAGTGCAAATGCATTCCAAGCACATTTTTTTGGTGTTGGGAAACCACCAAACAGGCGCAGACTAGAAAACAGACTTGCCCATGAGGAAACCTGCATAAAAGCTCCATTTGCCCTAACTGTGCCACTGGGCGTGCAGGAAACCTGATGTAGAGATGAAAGAAATGTTTACACGACTTAAGCAAAAAACATGTCAAAATGTGCTTTGTTTTTATTAATGAAAGAAGAGTTTTTCAAATAATGAACAGTGTTATAGCTGTTTCCAAGAAGCTACTGCTTTTCCCCTTATCCCAGAAGAACACATTTAGTTTACTGCCACATCACTATGCTCACACATTTCATACCTTCTCTGTCTCGCGGCTACATTTAATGATGAAGATGTTGGCATAAATGTCCTCCACACACATCCAGTCTGACAAAGACAGAGTGGTGTCAGTCCAAACCCAGTCCATCACCGCTCGCAGCTCCACCAAGAATGGGACAAGACGAAATCTAGAGACACACAACATCCATAGCATAATGTCACTGTGCTAACATTGTTTCATTGTGTCCCCTATATGCATTCAGGGGTGGTGGTGTGGAAAGAACTGTACTATATATAGTGTGCATACCCTTGGAAGAGAAACAGATTGAGGTGGTTGTATTTCTTGGTGAGGAAGTTGCCAAGGATACGAGTGGGATATCCACAACGGATCTGATAGGCTGACAAGCCGAAGTAAATACATTTGACAAAGTACCAGAGCTGGGCCACAAAGTTCTGATTGAACTTCCTAAACAGAAAGAAGGAGAGATGAGGAAGATTAAAGATGATTAGTACTCAACAAACTCACATATGGTATTGTCCTATCAGAGGTATGTACATTATGATTATTTTATTATACCAAGACAGCCCAACCTGCTAGTCACAGTCTGATTTGGTGATGGACTATTGTAATCTGACCTCACCTTTCAGTGACAGCAGGTAGAATGAAGAACATCCACAGGTGGATCCCAAACACAAGGATTATCTGGAGGGAAGAAACAGAAGGAGAAGAGGAAGGGTGTATGAAAAAAGATCAAATACCGAGAATGCAGAAAAGCACATTAATAGAGATGTTCTAAAAGTGAAGAGCAAAGCAACTCTGAACATGTTATCCTTGCAAATATTGCAGGTCACTTTCCAAAAGTCACCTAGTTTTCGCATGTACTGTAACATAAGGTCCCCATTTGGGCACTAATAACACGATGATACAAACCTTTCAGGAAGTAAATTTGCAAGGAATGCTGAAAGACAGAAATGAAAAACCACGTACTGGATTCTGATATAATTTGTGTTAGGTCAGGATGCCCTGGTTCAAATCCGTGCATGAATACTAATAATATGATAGGTAAACTGAACCTGGAAGATGAGTTTTCCCAAGACAGCCTTGCGCAGGTACAAGGCTCTGTCGATGATCATGGTAGTGAACTGGATGAGCAGCATCACTAGAAAGGCCTCAGGAACCTGGTCTTCTGATAGGGTGGAGGCTATATCAGCTGCGGCGCTGTGTTTCTGAAAGCACGAGATGCAAGTTATGAGCCAGCTTTAACAAGAAGGAAAGTAACATTCCTTCCTTGATGCCATAGTGGCAAAATCAAATTCCACAGCACCAGCCAAACGTTAAAAATACCTTTCATGCCTTTTTTAGTCATACAATTTTGCTTCTTCTTATTGTAGTTTGCGTTGATTCACGTAAATCAGTAATAAGTAGTCAATAATTACAGAATGACAACTTCCATCCACCCAGCCATCTCTCACCCCAAAAGCCCAAAAGCCAAAAACGACGATGATGAAGTCGATGACATCAGTCAAGAACATAAGCGCATAGACATCGGTGGCAGCCTGATACTCAGCATGGAGAATATCGCTGAAGAAACCATGAACTGGCTTGTAAACCCTCTGAATACTGCAGAGGAAAGGAGCATATATGAAGCCACTGCATTAATGGTAAGCTATGACATTTCAGTGATGCACTTTTAACTCTGTCAACTATTGCTAAATTATTTGTATTATTCTAAAACAGTTTTTTGAACACATTATTCATTATTTAATCATTGAAATATGAAACTGTTCTTACTGTGGTGACTTGTGTACATCACAGGGCCTACTCACCCAGACATGAAGACATGTTTTATCTTGTGCCCTACAGTCAACAGTCTCCGCCTGGCTGCCTCTCTCCTCCTGCCTTTCTCTTTCTTCTTAACTGTATCTTCACTGGTGTCTGCAGTCTCAGATGTGGACTCCACTGGAACAGGTAAAACCAGAACCAAGGGGGGATTAAAACAAACCGGCACCACAAAGAAATAAAAAGAAAAAAATGACAGTTTTTCTTGGAACATATTTTCACTTTGTTACACGTTATGTCAGCATCTTTTGGTCCAACTGGCGAGCAGGTGTAGGAGCAGGACCACGGGTCTAACCTTTTCCTGTCATCTACCTATAAATACTTCTGCATTTCTGGCAGTGGCTGCTTTTGTTTTTCCTTTCTCTCTCAGCCTCCCTCCCTCCCCCTTTATCCTTTTTCCCTTACCCAATGCCTTCCACGCATTATAGGGGGATCCGTCAGGCCCAGGACAAGCACGGATTCCTCATACACCTTCTCCAAACCACTGACCCATTCACTACCAACATCACCTCCGGGCTAAGTGCATAAGCATAACCTCAGCCCTTACATCCTACCACATCCTCCCTCAAATGATGCTAATAAACTCTTGCTTGCATCCCATCTATGGTGTGGTCTTAGCTGAGTGAAATTGTTTTTATTGGTATTTGGGACAGAATACACAGTCATCTGGGAAGATTCCTGCAGTTAATAATGCAAAACAGTTCTGTGAACAGCCACAATGAGAGGGAGTGATACATGCACACCAAGGACAGCATGGCGAAAAAGCACTGTAACTGCAAAAGCACCTAATTAGTACAGTTAAACACCAAGTGAGTGGGCATGTTGATGACGTTCTGTCAGGTGAGTGGTGCAAAACCAGAAAAAACAAAAGCTTGATGGTGAAGTAGAACGGTCAAATATACAGAAGAGGATTAGAGCCACTGTAAAAATATATCTGAGGTCTGACTTTAATCTCAGAACTCTGACATTTTTAAAAGTCAGAATTCTCAAGTTAAAGTCATTAAAAGTAAGTAAGAGTTCTGGGCAGTGACAGGGAATCTGTGGCTATGAACGCTGGGTTTTTCCAAAATAAGATGACCTCACTGTCAATGACCTGGTTTGGGAGGATCTAAATGGTTCAGTACAATTAAAATAGATTGATTGTACAAAGTTTCATCCAAACACATCTAAAGGCAAAACTGTTTTTATGTACTCAAAATGGCCACAGCTATCAGAGAGCGAGACAAGACAGATGGGCAGCAGAAATTCATATTAAAGTGAGAGAAGTACCCATGAAAAAACCCTGCCTATCCACCAGCACTTCAAACATTAGAAAGAAGGTTTCATATGCTGTTAACACCGTAATGGAATACAATCAGTGTTAACAACCTCTACCATCACAGTCAACAGATAAGAAGCCACACACCTTTGCTGCGCTGTTGATTGGGTGGTTTCGGTTTCCTGCGGAAGCGGATGCCGCTGCGTTTCTTTGGGATTTCTTCTGTCACCTGCTCTTTGTTTTCTTCCATCTCACCCTCCCTCAGCTTGCTGGGACGATCCAGTGCATCTTTCAGCCCAGACACAATTCCATGTTCATCTTTTGACCCTGAGGGTGCTGGTTCAGCTGCAGGGTGTTGTGGGGTAGCGGCAGCAGAGCTGACGCTTGGTTCAACATAGTCCACATTATCCTACATTGGTAAACAACAGATTAAAAACAAACTAGGAAAGCGATTTAATATCTTTCAAAACAGCTGATTCTATGACAGGATTCCATTGCGTTGGTGAATGGCCAAGAACACATTCTTTCAAAGTGGTGCTGATAGTAACAGACAGCAACTAATGTTAAGAGTTTGCACTAACCGTGTCAAGTTCATTCAGTTCAGTCATTTCAAGGTTGTCCAGGGTGGATGATGAGTTAACTCTTCTTGCTCCCTCTTTGTTCCTATCTTCATCTTCTCTAGTTTTTCCTCCATCTTTACAGCTTTCTGGGAAGGGGCTCTGCTCCTCCAGGGGGCCCTCATTGTCCCATAGGCCATAACGCTGCGGGTGCAAACGCACACACCCATTAACACACAGACACACAAACATGTTTGCTTTCATCCCATGAGAAAAGCCAGGTCCCCACAGTGTGAGTGTGTAAGCACATTTTCGTTTGCTTGCCTCTTTTTTTTTTACATTTCCATGGATAAGCAGTAGGGTTGTTTACCTAGCTACACAGATTACACTCAGGTCTATCTAGTGCTTTCACTGAATGACTACGGTCCAATAAACCTGTTGTGTTAATGTCCTGCAAAGTGAACGACTGTATGCAACACAACAAAATTTCCTTCAGCAAAACAAAGACAAAACAGAGATAATGGATTTTGGATACAAAGAATGAAGGCTTGGGCTCAGTGATTACCTGAAGTCCAGGACACTAAAAACTAACAGCTGTGTCAGGAATCTTGGTGTAATCATTGACGAGGATCTAAATTTTAAAGGCCACAACCAAGCTTCATAAGCATCATTCGGGCATCTTAAAAACAGCTAAAATATAAAATATATCAGCTATGTTTACTGAGTACAAGCCTGGTTGGTGTCTCAGATCTGCAGGGACCCAGTGGTGCCCAGAGGTCAAACTGAACAAGGTGAAAGGGCTTTTAGCCACGATGCTGTCCACAGCTGGAACCACCTCCCATTAGAACTTAGATCTGCCCCAACTGGAGCCACTTTTACAACTAAAAACTGTTCTTTTTCCCACTGCTTTTCATTATTATATCTTGATTCAATTTACCTACTTTTATCTTTCTTCCATTACTCGGCGTCTAATTGACTTCTTTGTGCTGTTTAGCTGACTGTATAGACATGAGGGTTCAAATTTCCAGGAGAAAGTGCGCTAGCTTCTGTTGTTAAAGTGCTCAGAGATTAGTCTTGGGAAGACTGAAGAGGTACAAAATATAATGAGAACAGTGAGAATCCACAGTCTGCCACAGCTGTCCTAAAAGTACTAGAGCTGAACAGTTACATGCCGTTACTTTGTGCAGACGAAAGTACTAGAGCTGAACAGTTACATGCTGTTACTTTGTGCAGACGTGTAATTGTTGCTTTTAATTTGCATTCAGTTTTATATATATGCATTTTAATGACATTTAATGTTTTAATCTAATTTGCATTCAGTTTTGAGGTATGACCTCAAGGAGCTTAGCAAAGGTCATATGGAAATGGTCCAGTGACCACTGGCTATATCTAAAGTCAGTACAAGGTGGTATATGTTGAAAAGTAGCTGGTGGTGAATTAGGCCTTTGTGGCTGGCATCCTGTACCACAAGTTTAATGTGCCCTTGCTTACTGATTGTCAAGTGTAACCACTGTAAATACCAACTGACCATGAGCAGGGATCTGTGGAAGAATAGAGCCAGCAGCTGAAAAAGATCATATCTGATGTAGTTGTCAGTCTTCTCCAGGCCCAGGATGCGAGGTGGGAAGAAAGGCTTGTCCTCATTTAGAGTCATCTCATACACACTGTTCCAGGGAAAGAATCCAAACTGGAAAAGGTATTTCACTACCACCATCACCTGGAGAGAGGCACAGTAGCACCACAGCAGTCAGACCAGAAGAGAGCACAGAAAAGGCAACAGTGCATACTGTACTGCCAGATCAGGCAGTAACATATGTATGCTCATCCAAAGTGCTAAAGATGTCTAATGGACTTGAGGTTCTTTTATGACATTTCACCTCTCGTCCGAGAAGCTTCTTCAGTTCTGACTGACCGGTGGTAAAAACGGAAGAAGCCCCATTAGCACACCGGACATACCATGACCTGGGTGTCTGAGAATGTCCACAGACATACCGAATAAAACCCTGTTGTGGCCTGTATATAGTACTTCACTTTCACTCGTTAATATAATTTCGTAACTGCATTACAGGGATGAAAAATCTCTAAGTATAGTCACCATTAAAGTAACTGTATACTGTATCACATTCTGTATGATGAATAAACAATTATAAGTGGTGCTTTAAACGTTAAAAGGGTGTTGTCAGAAATCAAAATGTTCATGAACCTCTACACTCAAATGTAGAATGGAGGGGGTAGACATGAGTTTTGAATGAGGGGATAATAGCGCACATTCTCACATTCATAACGTTGCACTCACTTGGGCACATGCAAATTGACTGAAATGGTTGTGTGAAGAATGAAAAAGGAGAGTTACAGAGAGAAGTTCAATCCTTGGCTGCTCACTGTTGCACAACTGACCAATCACCGCATGAAGCGGATGTGACAGTTGGATCGTCAGTTTCAGAAGGCCACATAAAGGGCTGTCCACCAATCACCTTAATTTGATGTGAAAGGAAGGGTGTGAGTGGTGCGCAGTGGTTTGAACAGCAAGTTTCCAACCTTACTTAAAATACCTCAAGCATTTGTATTTGATAAGTACATTATGGGTTTAAAATGGCAGGTATTTGTCATGTGACTCGCAGTTGACCATAGTCAGTGAGCACCACTAGATCCTTTAAAACACAGACCTAATTATGTTTACTGTGCAATAGTTTGCCTGCAGAAGCCAAACCACTAAATCCACCCCTGCTCTGAGTGCTCTGGACTGAAACTGTGAATTTCTGAATGACAGTTGTGAGTGAGCCCGAGGAAGTAACAATGCTAAAGTCGTTGTTTGCAGATTTGTAATCATGTATGACTATTAATAAATGAAGATGATTAGACATCCCTTGTGTAACACACCATTTAACATTTGTTTCACCTTTTTAAAGTTGATAATTTATCTAGAATTGTTGAATTAATGTTGACCAAATGAATCTAAGTCCAATATTCACTTTCCTTTTAGCTTTGCTTCGGTCTCCACCAGCTCTTGAAATAAATGCCGTCTTGTTAGGGGATATCCCAAGCTGCAAAAGCTCACTTCAGGGAGAACCTTATGAACACCCATTTATCTTCCTGTTTTGTACTTTCATTTTTTGATGACTCTGCCATAGTGCTGCAGGACACTCAGCTGAACTGACTCAGAGAGGCACTGAATGTAAAGCCTGCCCACAAAGAAAAGTGACAGGTTCATTTAACACAAAGACAGACAAATCAAGATGCTCGCTAGCTTGCTCTTTAAAAAATTGATTTGCAGAATACTGTATATTATTTGCAGTCATTGGGGAGCCGCTGTCAATATGTGGGAGATTCCCAGAGCTTCCAGCAGAGGTGGATTGTCTGTCTTAGCTGCTAAATGTCCACTGTGTGCACCAGTTAAATTGTTAAATTAATTAGCTCAGCTAATCAAACTAAATACATTTATACTGATAACCTATACAATCATTTAAAGCTGGTAAATCTTTGAATACTTTCTCACCATTCTTATATCAGACTGGTGCTCACTGCAGTTTGCTACCACACAATGGTGATGCTATCACAAGAGTCACAGGCTATATGCCCTGTAAACCCACAATAAAAGAGGACAGACAGTTTGGTAGAGCTGCAGAGTTGGTGATGGCCCTTTGTAAATGTGTCAGAGTCATCTGATTGATTGTGAAAACAAAGATTATTGATTAGCAGTGTTTTAAAGGGCACATCTGTAAGGTTTGTACATGTCTGACTTTGGTGACTCAGACTGGTAACATGTCAAAATGATGCTACCAACTCAGTATCAACTTTTTTTAAAATATATATTTTGTTTTGCACATTAGGGCCAAAGATGCTTTGATATTTTTCACTCATGCAGTGAAACAAACAATATACACAGTTTGCCACATCTACCTGTGCTGGTTTATAGCTAAGAAGGTGCAAAGGATTTTGAAGGTTCTGTCTGTAGGCCACTCAGTGTTCATACCTCTGTATAGACTATAGCAGTCATCCAAAACCTCTTGGTTGGTCTTGGAATAGCCAGCATAGCCCATAGGAACACCAGTATGGGCAGGACCAGTGATATCGCAGAAGCACTGACAACATTGTTTAGCACGATGATGAAGTAGCATACGAGCTCTGAGTTGGCTGCCAGCAGGTTGTACATGGCAAACAGCAGCTTCAGCAGACGGTTTTGGTTGTTATAAAACTCTCTGCTCTGTTCCAGCTCCTCAATGAAAAGCTGACTGCAGACAGAGAAGGGAAAGTCACAACCAGGAGTTGGTATTCATCTACCATTAACTGAAATAAATACATGAAATAACATTCAAATTGTAGTTTTCTCTTAACACATTCATGACCCACACATTCCATTTGCAAATATTGTGGTATTACTGCTGCTAGGCACAAAGTGCTCTATAAAAAACCAAGTCTTTAGTGGTGAGTATCCACAGAGTATACCTGTCTCCCAGCAGCTCGCTAGCTGTTCTGGACTGTCTGTATTGTTGTCTGGATAGCTCTGATGCCAGCTCCATGCTGCTGGATGGAGGTTCTGGACTCAAGAGACTCCTAGTGCTGCTGAGCCCTGGCCTGGGTGTAGACCGACCTGTCACAGTCCCACTGTCCACCTCCAGGAGGCTAAGGGGGTGATTCAAACACAAAAATACAAACACATAAAGACAAAGAAACAGAAGGTGACTGTTCAGAAACATATTACCTCCACCAAGGGTGGGGGTTACATTTTTTGCCTGCGCTGGTTTCTTGGTTTGTTTGGTCACAGCATAACACAAAAAGCAATGAATGGATTTTGATGAACTCTTTTGGAGAGGTAGGGTATGGGCCATGGAACAATTGATTAGATTTTGATGCTGATCAGTATCATCATTTGGATACAATTTATAGATTGTGTTTTTTTTACCATTGTGAGTACTGGAAAGGCTGTTGACTGTATGTGAGCCCCCTTGTGGAAAAAGTGCTGAGCACCCCGAGCACGTAAGAAGACAAATCCCTGGGTCAACAACAGCTGCCCATTCATTGTGAATGGAAACCCAGTGCTGTCCCTCAGTATGCCCTGCTGTGCTTGACAAGGTCTGGAGGAGCCCAACATGGCCACAGCCCAGGGGTGGGGAAAGATCTACTCTATGCAGCGACAGCTGGGTGAGAATCTGATGGCCGAGGTTTGGCTCAAACCTGTTACCATTTACATCTGTAGGACTGGTTTTATGCCATTTCATCAAGTTTTAACATTTTTTTCAGGCGACAAACTAACCACTTTTATTGAGAATATGTGGTCAGTCTATCCAAGTAATGCCAGTTTAGAAATTTGTTCTGATGTTTTTGGAGATGTGAGTGCTCCTTATCTGACCAGGCTATTAGCAGAGAGCTACATCTGGTTCAGAGCAGAGCAGTCTGTTGACAAGGACGCTGGAGTTCCAGCTGCACATTATGAGTACTGCGTCCTCCCGCCCTCAGGAGTTTGGCCTTCAACTTGTGGAACCATACTGTGTTAGGTGAATGGTGACTCCCATCCATATATAGTTGGCAAACAAAAGACACATGCTATTTTCCACACTAACCTAAATTTGGTGGAGTTTTCTGCATCAGTCTCATCCAAACAGGTCTCCAATGTGCAACTCTCACTACCCTCAGATACCTGGTCATCCATAACTGCATGGCGCTGCCAATTGGAGGGAAACAGTCACAAGTTAGAGTGTGTGTGATTGTCTATTCTAAGTGTTCAATTCTAAAGCTCAGTTTTTGCTTGTGTTATGGTACCTGTTGTATCTTGTGTATGATGGAGTAGCGTTCATTGCACAGGACAGTAGATGTGTCTCTGTATTGTTTAGTCAGCAGGTTCAGCCAGTGAGTCAGTCCATCCACCATTGCCAGAACTATGGCCCATAAGAAATGCAAGATATCCAAGATCCTCTGAACCATCTCACCATGACCTGCAGCATACAGAGACAGGCATGGGCATGGGGAGAGAAGAAAAACTGATACAATAATGGAGCAGACTGTGACAGACTGTAGCAGGCTACAAAAACTGAAAAGACTGTGCCTACAGTGGCTTTGGGGGGTGTTTTTTAAAGGTATGTATGGAAATTACATGGAGAGCAATTCGATACTTGATTATTCTCACATTTTTACCAGTTCTTATAATTATGTTTTATAATGAAAAGTAAGGCAGGCCTGCTGTTTATCGTGTGTCCTGTCTAAAGAGCAGGGCTATTCCAAAATAACAAAGTTGACAATCTGAACCAAACACATTACAGTGTACAAAGTAGATGTTATTGTCAATGTCTCCATAAACAATATTCAGTGTACAGAGAAATGAAGTTGTTTCTTCGGTGTACAGGTTACACAAAAAGAATGAAAAACACATAAAACAAGAATTAGTACAGACAGTAAAGTGCAAGTAGTATTAAGTTGCAATAAAGTAACAGTACTGTAACGCATGGAAAGAGGGCTTGTTTCATCATAAAAGTGAAAAGCTCTAATAAGCAAAAATGTACATGAAACATTCTAATACTATTATAACATTTGTATTATGTAGAAAAAGGGTACTGGGTTCAGCACTTTAATGCCTTTGGTCTGAACAAGGAATTCAATTTGTCTTGCCTCATAATTAATTTGTGACATTGGGTTTGTCTGGTATTTATGGCGATCAGGTGATTTACGAGGCTCCTTGTTGGATACACTGTTGCACTTGATTGAGTTATATAGCGGTAGTTCACCTGTGCTTAGGTGCAGCATCGTTGCTGGTCTGCATGCGAGGAAGGGCATCAGCCTGAAATGTCCGTGCTGTACGAATAAATAATCTATTTACTGAAGTGCTGGTCCTATTTTTCATTAAGTAACCAACATGAATTATACTCTATTTTTTAAGAGCAACATTTTCTGAACACACAACCTATATACTGCTAGCATTAGTTACTCCCATGGTCACGATAACCAACTACAACCAGAAGCGGAAGCCATTCATTCACTATGCACCCACACTACTGACTAGACACACACAGCAGTGTGCTTTCACAGTGGACAGTGGGGCACACAAAGACCATGTGAACCTACCAGAGTCCTGTTCTTCTGGTTCCTCAACCTCCTCCTCATGGACAGGGCCCTCAAACACATCATTGTCCTTACAACCTACACACACACACACAAAGATAGTTCAATTGGTATGTGTGTAATCTGCTCTATCATGCACATCCCCTCTTGGGGCTAAATGACCCTTAAACAACAGTATATCTGAAACATTTTACTTTTCTTTAAACTGTTTTTGTTAGTCTATAATATGACTTTATTTCCCAAGTTATAAAGTTATTTAAACTTAGTGTGGACTGAGACCTTGTGGCAGGGATATGAGACAGCATCTCAGACCCACCGTATCCAGACTAGCAGTAACCATGAATACAACCAATGTCCAAATATTCACCTGTAATCTCTTTCCAAGCCTCACTTCATAAAAAACATATTTGTAAAAAACTATGTGTATAAGATGTTACAGTGTGAAATAATCCTCCAAATGAAGTACGATGACATGAGCCCAGACTCAACCAGTATCAGATATATCCATGAAAACAGCACATAACCAAACAGAACTCAACGAGTCCCATTTATTCTAATAAATGAAGAAATGGTTAAATTCAAGACTATAATTGTTAACCCACTAGTACAGGCTTCTCTTGTTGTTTTTGTTCTTAGTAAAACATATGAGCATATCAGCATTTTCATAATTCACTGGCTCACAGCTTCCACATGCAGTTAATGCAGAATTTAATGAGGACATTCAGTCATTTTCAGAGGACAGATCAGCCTCATGCTGACCAGAGCACTGACCACTGTAAATTACTACAGCCGCCAGTTTGCTCCATTAACCCTGAGAGTAAAAAAGGATGTCCGAATACCAGTGATGGAAAAGGCCTCCTCTTTTGGATCCACTTTCCCTTCTCTCTCTTTCTCTTTTCTCTCAGTCCTTTTCAGCTGTCTCTGGCGTCTCTGACGTTCTGTCAGAGCTGCTTTCACACTGGTCACCCATGCCTGGTACGCCAGCTGTTAGAGGAAAACAACAACAATCAGTAACACAATAGATATTTGTAAATTAGAATGTCAACACTGCATGTTAACTGTAGTAAAATACTTTATATAGGATATACAACTGGCCGATGGCATAAAGTCAAATATAATGGGCACGTGACTCTACTGGACACAGTTTTATGTGCAGATCTGCTACTGGACTGTCTCTGAAGAGTAAATTGTAACTGACTAGAAGACTCCAATTCAAACTGGTGTATGAATATAACTATATTCTGTGAATCAGTTGCGTCTGACCTGACAGGCAGTCTGTTTCCGAGGCTTCTGTTCTTCAGAATGGAGCTCCTCCTCATCCTCACTGTCTGATTCAAACAGGTAGTAGTCCCCTGAGTGGAGCACTGTGAGTAGAAAAACACGTATTACAACCTCCTCACCCTCACTACTGTATATGGAGATCACATGAAGTTAGATCAGATGGACCACTTCACCTTTGCAGTCTGTGTTTATCCTTTAAGCCACTGATACAAAGAATAAACAATGTGTCTGTCATACCTTTAGCATGGTCCAACCATGGCTGGTACCACAACTTCTTGGTGGGACTCTTCATGTCTGTCTGGGTGTCTGGAAGGAGACAAGGGAAGGTTTAGTTTGAAAGAGGCACTGCACAGGACAATCATACTGATGGCTTTGCTCATCTTATAGTTGAATGGTCTATCCAAAACCAAATTAAACAAAAAAATTTAAAATTTTAAAGTAAATTTGAAAAGTAGGTCACAGGGTCAAAAATGTAATGATTTCAGGTTTATGGAAACAGATTGTACTCAGCAGGCTTCACGGCATAATGACTATAAAGTTAGCATAAATAACCTTATGAGGTGGTAATACATCACTTCATTATTATAGCACCTTTCAAAAACAAAGTGGGAACAAAAATTAACAACATGGCAGTGCTGTGAGTCTCACAGCTGGTTTTGGGGCGTTTCTTTCCCCTAGTGGTCCAACATCGATCGATGACAGTTTAAAGCAGTAACTTTTTTCACTGTCACATGAAATCCTTGTATCTCCAGTTTGGGGTATTTTTAAATTTTTAGGCCAAATGAAGATGGAAAGAAATGTGAAATTACGTACAGACACACAGCAGACAAGGATGGAACATAAGGAAGGAAAGGAAACAAGGATTGACAAGTAGAAAAATATCTATTTTATGAGCACAGGTTATGTCAAAATGGCTAATGTGATGTCACCATTTGTCCACAACAGTCAGTAGATCAACAGAGAAGAGAGAAAAATGAAATTTGGCAAATGATGCACTTCATTGTTAGGTTCAGTGTTTTCAGATTACACTGATTAAACTCTGGGGGTGCTAAGAACAAATTGACTTCTATTGTACTTGCAGGCCAACAGGGGCCTGGCAGGGGTGGAACACACGATTACTGAGTGTTTTGTTTTGCAACAATTTGCCAGTTTTTTTTTCAGCCAACCAGTGAAGTAGCAAACTGACCCTCGTTGGAATCTTCACTGGTTTTGTGTCCATCTCTGTACTTCTGCTGCTTGGAGCGAATTCTCTGCATCCTGAGAGAAGAGGACAGGGAAAGGAAGCAGGGAGACTGAAGAATGGTACTTGAACTCTCTTTTGAGCCACTTCATAACATTTGCTGTAGGATAATGTAACTCTATGTATTGAATATCTTCCTGTGAGATTTTTGCTTATGTTATATTTCGATCAAACACCAGACACAGTCCACAAATTGAATTTGGTGGGCATCTTTTGATTCAGTGGTAATTTAATTTTCAGGCAAGTGAAGACAGAATTATGAACCACATTTACATCATGTCTGAAGATGTACTTGAAACAAGATCTTATGTAATTACTTGAGTTTGTTATTGAAGTGGCTGGAGAGTGGACTTGGATGAAAAACAAAGAGAAGTGTGTACCAAATGCTGCCAGACTGAGACATTATTAATGAATAGATACAAACATCCGGTGATGACTTTATACATTCAGACACTTTTTGCAAGACAATACTCATGGAGGACAGACATTTTGCAAGTATCAAAGAATAATAGTGGCCTGACAATACAGGATATCAGTCAGGCTACAGATCACAGTGACAATGCTAACAAAATTGCACAAAATGGTGTGCCAATAAAGTAGATGTAAAGATATTTGTACAATATATGTATTAAATTATGCAGCAGTTAGACCGACATTTCCACTAGCATGGCTAAAGGCCTCGAGCTACTATCAGCCAGTGCTCAAGGCAACTACACACCACTTTCAGAAATTTCATCATCCAGCTTTCCATTTCTACTTTTCCTTTGAATCAACATTATCATACTAAAAAACATCTCAGAAAATCTCAGTTCATGAGGTGTATTTATTGTACTGTAAAACACTTACGATCTCTTGAGCTGTGACAGAGACTTCTTCTCAACTTGTTGGTGGAACTTAATGTTCTTCAGGATACTGGCTTTGAAGAGCTCAAACCCCCTGGAAGGAAAAAACACTTGGCACTGCATTTACTGGATCAGCCATGGGGCGCTAATACCAACAGCAGCTTCATTTCAATTCAGTAGCGAGTGTTGCATATTAAGTACTTGCATACTAAGCTGTCGGTCAGAGTGCTGACAATGATATGTTATGGTGGCTGACTTCGATAAAGTTGGAAAGATATTCACAGGTTGGAAGTTTCCAGATCAGTAAGTCACAAGCGAAGCATTGCTAAAATACAAATGGTACCTCTTTTGTTTCATAGTGGTGTAGACAACAAGCTACAAGCTCATTTTTATCAAAATGCTCAAGACAAATAACACAGGTCTCAATGTGCAGCCGGCTGTGAGATGAAAAGAGACAGGCTTAAAATATTCAATAACTTTACTGTTACCTAGTGTAGTGTTACCAAAATTACTTCACACATCAATGGCCATCTGCTGGTTATACTACAACCCTTTGTTAAAATTTGATTTTGATGAATTTTTATTGCGAAAAATATTCACTAACTTCACTGTTAGACAGTAGTCTCACCAAATCACCCATCGCTATGGATAGGCTAGAAACAGGTGCATCTTCAATGTTTCAGGTGAAGCTCTAATTTGTGGGTGGAAGTAAAGGGCTAGTATCAGAGGTGGGATATTTTGCTGCTGCTCTGCTTTGTAGCTGGCAGAATGTTTGCTGTGGGCCTGACTGCCAAGTAAGCAGCCATCATGCCAATCTCACTCTCTCCTGTAACCCTTCTCTGTTATATCCTCTCTGTTACTTGGTCTTTCTCCACACTGAGTAGAGTAGCATTAATCTTCAGGATTATTCCACTGATACCTGATGTCTGGTTTTAATAGTGTGGTCGCTCAGTCAGGGATACACACTTTCTGTCACTGAATGAGACTTTACCATGAAAGCTTGTCTGTCTGCATTGTTTACTGCCTGTTTATACAGCTTATTTTGTATTGTTTGCACAGTTTGTTGCTTTCTAATACTGCTTATTTTGTTATATTACACAGCCTTATGCTGGTCTACTGTTTACTTGCCCCTTGCATGAGGATATGTACATACTGTACATATTGAGAGCCGCTGTACCAGAGTCAAATTCCTTGTGTGTCCAACACACCTGGCCAATAAAGCTGATTCTGATTCTGATTTTGTCCGTACCAATCTTGAGACCAAACCTTTGCCTTTGCAATGATTAGAATCCTTATAAGCTGCAAATAACTCAGAGACCTCTGTGCATTTCACACACTGGCTGCAGCTGTGACTACGTTACACTATATAACTGCTGCTGGTTACAGGACTTTCTTCCATACACAGAAGCTGGTCAGTGATATTAGCAGACTACTGAGTGAATATTTATGTGTAGTATTTCAACAATACATAGTTTTTTCATTACACTTTAGGAAGAAAAGGGGATGAGAGGAGCTGGTTTGATTGGACAGAACTAAAGCCAGGCCTGACTCCACCTGCTCACCATGTATTCCTCCCTCTAAAAATGTATTCTGTCTCTCCTCCACAACGCACCCAGTAACACCTGGCTGTGCCCACAAGTACGCATCACCCGTGGTCACCAAAATCGCATAACACTGTTGAACATGCCCATATGCACCTTGTGCCTGGAGTTTAAACATGGGCTTAGTGCTGTGCATAGGACAATAGAGCCCATTGTTTCTTACCTGGAGGCCTGTTTGGCAGAAGCCTGCAGCTCTGCTGTCACATGCAGGAAGTAGAAACTGAGGAAGACTCTTCTCTGCAGCAACAGGAAGAGAAAGCAGATACTGTCCCAGATTATCCCGGCTTCTTCTACCGGGAGGCTGCAGGTTTTGTCACTCACTAGTTTTGCTGTCAGGAAATAAAACAAACAATGTCACTAAGATACAAGCAGAACATATCCGTCTGTCACTGCTTCTGTCAGTGACAGACGACAGGTGATAAGCTGCATGCCAGTGGAATACTGTTATTTCAGAGAAATGGCTACCAGCACTTGGGTATGCAGTCAGAGCTATGGATAAAAAAAAGCAATCTAATAAGGAAAACCACTGCTCCAGACTCAATTATTTTCAATTTCTTGGCCTGTTTAATACCAAATACTGGGATGACTAAACAGTTTATAGTGAGGTGGCAAGTCTGGTGAAATGGTGACAAAAACAATCTCACCCTCAACACAGACAAGACCAAGGAAATGAGAAAGGAGAGGAGAACTCATTGGCCGTTGATCATCCATGGGCTTGTGGTGGAAAGGGTGAGCAGTTTCAAATTCCTGGGCGTCTACATCTGCGCTGGCATCATGGGGACACTTAACACCACACACCTCCTCAAGAAAGCACAACAGTGACTGTACTTCTTGAGGAGGCTGAGGAAATTTGTCATGACACCAAAGATCCTCAGCAACTTCTACAGATGCATCACTGTGTGGTATGGGAACGCCATTGCATTGGACCGCAAGCGCCTGCAGAGAGTCGTCGACACTGCTGAGAGGCTCATCAGGATGCCACTACCCTCAGGGCAGGACATCTACCACCACAGAGTCCACAGAAGAACTTGCACCATTGTTAAGGACTCCACCCACCCCCCCAACACAGACTGTTCACACTTCTGCCGTCTGGTAGGAAGTACAGGAGTGTGAAATGTAGGACATACCAACTGAGGAACAGCCTTTACCCAGCAGCCATTAGGCTGTTAAATAGGTCAAATACTGGCCTTGACACCATCCTGAACTATCACAACCCGCCGCTTCACTATCACCCCCCACCCAATCACACACACACCCACTTTCCATTTCTCAACCAAACCAACACAATATGTGGTTTGTATAGACACTTAGTAAGACCATAAATCTACACTACTGCCTATTGCACTATTATATATTACTGTACAAAGTTTATACTTATCACTGGAACTGATAATTGCACATTTGGTGCTGATACTGCACATCCCACACTGCACTGATTGTGTATATACACACACTCACACACTTACGGTCATAGTACCCTTTGACTGTGCAAACCAGGCTGAAGAGTTGAATCACCCAACAGAAGCCTTTCTGCATCTCAAACACAAATACGCATGCCAGGATCTGAAACACACACACACACACACACAGGGAAAAACACTGGGAAGTACTGTGGTTTTAAAGTCAGGAAGTCTAACTGTGGTGCTCATTTCTCTTATGAAAACAGAATAACAATCACTGTTCCTTCTGGCAGATATACAGCATTGCAACCAGCTTCCTTACATATTGCTAAGAGGCATTAACAAGCAGTCAGTGTATTCACTAGGGTGGTCACATTCCAGCCGTGTAGGAACCTGGCAGGAACCTCCCATGGACTGGTCAAGGCTACTTCACAGACCAGTTAATACATTTAAGATGGCTGTATGTGTACTATAAATATATTAATGGTCTCTACATAACAAATGTAGCAGAAACGCTTGGAGATGCCCACAGTGTCTGCACCAAAGGCTATCATTTACCGGTTGTCATTTAACTCGGTGTGATCTAAATTTTGATCATCTTCCACCAGCTAATGTGTTAGAACACATGCTGATATTAAAGTTTGTTGTAGCTGCCACTATGTGTTCATCTCTTTTTTGTAACAACAAACGTCACAGGGGCCTAGAGGACTTTAAAAGCTGAAAACTAGCATCAAATGATGAACTTTATACTTACTGATAACACATTTTTAGATATAATGACTGCCACATTATAGATGATGAGACAATCCCACAGGTTGAGGCGGGTCCTAGATGTTTTGACCAACAGCTTGGTTCGAAACAGCAGAAAAAAGAAGCAGGCGAGCAGGTAGCCCAGTCCAAACACAGAAATCCTGGTGGCCCCAGTGATGAAGACCACTGACAGCACAAACCAGAAGAGGTGACGAAACACCAAAACTTTAGCCATGTCCAGGTAACTCCTGGAGGAGAACAGGGAAATACATCATTCATGTCCAAACTCTCCAGCTTTGACTGAAAAAGAGGTGTTTACTGCCAGAATTAAGCAGGAGAGGGGCAGCGAGCCAAAGAGCAATTGTGCAACTTCAATTTCCCATTTCGCTGATCTTCAAATAACAAGTATCCCTTAGTAACAATTTAACCAACAGCTAGATCATGAAAGTATTATAGTCCAACGTGTATTGGCCGATATTATTGTCTTTAGCTCATTCCAAATATACTGTATTTGTGTGGGTGTATATGCCTGTTGAAAAGAAATAAGAAACTGCATTATAGAAATGCCAAACTTTCATGTCTCCATTACAGCTTTTCTACCAGAGAGCTACTTTTAACCTTTAAAATGGACCAATCTTTCCATTATCTTGGTCCCAATGCAGACAAATGGCAGGTTCAACGGTGAATGGCTGCTAATTCAGACAGACTGACTGGTAGTAAGAGCACATGCTGTACTTACCTGCAGTTGATGAAGTTGGGTGCCGGGTTAAACAGCCGACCATCCATTGGTTCAGGCTCATCTGTGTTCTCTCCCGCCAGAACCATCCATTCCTCCATGTGCTCACACTCAAACACCTTCCACTGCTGGGATGCACACATCAGCAGCACAAAGTCCGCTGTGGACACACACATCAGCGCAATACACCATCAGCAGCAGCATCGACATCAACACTCTGCTGCTCTCACTTTCTTTTTTTAAACAAATATTATTCATTAATTTCCATCACTTTTACTTTAGTTCTTTCATTCCCTGCTAAATTGCTACTAATGAAACATAGCACTTCCCCTAAACGTATCATATTAAAAGTAAAGTAGGAAGGGAGAGAGGTATGCCCTTTGAACTCTAAGGATGAGGTGCTTTTAACAGTAGCTTCACACCAGTTGAAACCGTTCAAAGGAGAGTACAAATTAAATGCCCACTGTACTGATGGAATTAGTGCTGTGAAAATGTACACCATGCTGCATTTATTAAGACAACAGCAAGTGCTGATTTGCTGTTTGTTGATACGGGTAAATGAATGAACACTGACAGAGACATCTAGATGCTGACACGTGCACAGAGAAATAGCATGCACATAAACTGACCTATGAGGTTTTTGGAGTTAGGTGCAGTGTAGAAGTCAGGGAGATAAATCCACTTAATTAGAGCCGAGTTCATCAACACTGGAGTGTTCCACCGCCATGGGTAGTCTGCAGGTAGGTAGGCAGAAGCAGGTACATTGATTGATTGATCAGTTTGATGACTAATTTCTACAGCAGAGTGCAGGGTGGTGCCATGTGGGGCATAATCTGAAGTCTGATCTGTATAACATGCACTGGACATCAGATGACTGAGTGATTAACTGATTATACTCTTCTATGGCCATCGTGTATATACACGGGATGGACAAAACAGTCTAATACTAAACCACCACTACCTATGGACTCTAAAATGACTCCTCTCAGACACAGCTTCAGACAACAACCCACCACCATAGAGCCCAAATCCAGCCATCTTTTCAGTCCTGCCTCTGTCCTACGTGGCTTGCCAATGCATTTTCTCAGGTTTTAACAGAACCTGTGGATGCTGAAGTTGTTAAAAAAATAAAATAATGAAATATCAACTGTCCAGTACAGTAATAAATACCCATTTACTGGAAAGCTTGGATTAACAAAATGACATAGTGCAGGCTGAAAAAAATGCTTTATCTCTATACACCAACAAGGCATGGAGATGTTTTTGAAAAAAGTGGAAAAAAAAATACTCATCCATCCATCCATTATCTATACCACTTATCCTGAACAGGGTGGCAGGGGGGGGGGCTGGAGCCAATCCCAGCTGGCACAGTACAACCTTCTGTAGTTGTCCAGTATATTGTCATCTATTTGACCTTTACTTCATATCAGGACTCACCTATACAGAGAGCAGGTGGCATGCCTACACACAGTAGGTACTGGTAGATCATGAAGATGGACAGGAAGATACAATATCTGGGCCAGATCCTGGCGATAGCTGCCCGCCGCCGCCTCACCAAGATGGCTACCAACCAACAGCCATGGATTATCACCAAGAAGTTCATCCGCTGGCCAATCACATTCACCGTCATCATGAAACAAATCTTTTTAAAAAAGAGGGTAGGTTTTGGGAGATTAAAATTTAATAAAAATAGAGAAAAACTGAATGTAAATAATGCCATCTGCTAATGTCTCTTTTATTAGTTCCTTGTCCAAAAACCCGTTTCATCAATGAAGTGATGTCTCCCAGTTACCTCTAATCCAAACTTGTAGAAGGTGTAGTTGAGCAGGTACTTGAAGCAGGGTATGAGGCCCTGGTCTAGAGTGTCCCTGGTGGCAGCGGGGAACAGAGCAGGGATGGTGGGAGGTGATCGCTGAAGTTGACGGTAGTGGTGAGCCTGGTGACGATACACTGTCACCTCAAATGCCAACAGCATCAGCACCATTAAATGGCTCTGAAAAAAATAAAACAATTATAGTAACAATAATTACACTACATAATACACATTCAGTTATTGGAAGAATTAACTGGCCCTTTATGGAACCAAAGCACTTTACTGGAACAGCAAATTCAACATACAAAAGAAAAGAAAAGGCTGAATATGTAACCTAACACCAATAATTTATGAGTATTGACTGATTATATCTTATTCAAGGTCAAGGTTTCTTTATTAATACCAGAAAGTAAGTTTGTTGTGTGCGCACACACACACACATGCACACGTTCACCCACTCCAATAGTGTAAGTGCCATGGTTGTTCAAAAAGCGAATGGGTGCTGGTATAAAAGTGTTTCAGTAGTATTTTGTTCTCCGTCTACAAACTGACAACCCATATGAAGACAACTCAATTCCCCATATAAGGGATGGGAGCAATCATGAGTGAGGCATCTCACTACATAAAGTTGGATCACATTTGGGAGTATCAATAGTAACAACCTGAATCCTGGTCAAAGGACGAGTTTGAAGGTGAGACCAAGCAGTTCAGGTAAGCAGCCATTGCCACAGGGTGTTGATCAAGCACAGAGGATGCACAACTTTAAACCAGTTCAAGTTCTTGATCAAGCACAGAGGATGCACAACTTGAAACCAGTTCAATGGCAAGTTATAAGGGTGGGTTAAATTTGTGTGGTTTGTAGTCATTCACACACACAAGGTGAAAAAACACAGTCAAGTGGTAAACTCAGTCAACTTATTTGCCTCAGTTACCTCCAATTTCTCTCCAGAACAAACATGCTCATTAATTCGCTACAGCCACAAAACAGAACAAGTGAATTTTTTGTTTTGTGCATGTCTGAAAGGGGCTTCTACTGAATGTACCTTGCTGTATCCCAGTACAGTGGCATCCTTCCTGATGCCAAACCATTTTGCCGGATCCACTGACTCCTTGTACAGAGTGGAGTTCAGCATCTCGTCTGGTGACAGGTTGGTTTCATTTGTTAGCGGCTGTGAGGAAAAGAGGAAAGAAACAGATATCCACACCAGGGTTGCAACGCTATGGGATTTTCACTGTAGGATAACGGTTTCATGGTATTACACAGCTCCTATTATTATCAGCCACAATGACCCTCAAAGGAATGAAAACAAAAGGGTCATTAAAGGCAAGTGACTGTGAAAGTTGATTGAGTTGGATGGCAGCGCTAGATTGACCCTAAAGAATAAACAAAGTTATGAGCATGATTTTATATAACTACAGCACGTTATATAACTAAAGCATGTTAGCACCAGTACTAAAGGAAGTATTCACATCCTTTACTTAAAGCTGCATTAACAAAGATTTTGCAACGATTTGGATGTTGTAAGTAATGCAAAGGCACGCGCACACACACTGTTTTTATTGTGTCGGGAACGACCGTGTGTGTTTTTGGGGTCAGATTGCGATCAGTGTGAGCCCTTTTATAAATCAGAGAGTAGCGAACAAACAGACAGTGTAGAAAATTATTTCGATAGAGCATTTTACGACCGATGTTTATACGCTCACACATTTTATTGTTTGAGATTAAAGTTATAAACACAACACATTCTGCACTTGGATTTGCATGGAGGGATGCTATCAAATGTGCTCATTTCTGAGATAGCTAAACTAATCCTGTACTGCTGATTTTAATTTCTTTTTCACTGGATGGAGTTTGGTGATATCAGCCTCCTCCTCTCTGCATTTGTTCACTGCATGTGTGCGTGCGGCGCCCATTGCACGGTCTGACAGGTAGTCGGAGAAGAAAAGTGTGCATAAGCATCAAGTTTTTTTTCTTCAACACCAATAATAAGCAAATGTGCATGGTATGATAACCAACACGTTTCATACCATGGTATACCATGAAACCATGAATACCACTGTAACCCTAACCCACACCATGTCACCCTCCAGCAATGTATGTTGGTTTTGATGACTCAGTAAATATAGCATCATGCCTGTTGTAACAGATATTGTTGATGCAGTGTACTGTATGTATCCATGTGTGTCTTACCAGGCTACAGTTACTGGAGTACTCAATAGGGTTGACAACATTCAGCTGGTACAGCATCTTACACACAATGATGACACACACCCAGACTGTAGAGAGACAGGAAGCCATAGGCCTGAAGCGACCATAGGGCACTGCCAGCGACCACAACACCACCAGAACCAAGTTCATTATAGATGGCTACAGACAAACACAGAAAGAGGAAAACAATGAGATTAATACAAAAATGAAGAGTTTATGTCAAATGTCATATGCATTATATACTGTAGAGCCACAGTTCCCAACCTGGGGTTCATGCCCACCCCTTGGGGGGGGTGCTAAAGATCACTGGGGACACACAAGGGATCATCTGCTCTGAGGTTGTGTCATTGTCAAAATTAGATGTGCACAGGTTAACTAAAAGCCTTCAGTTTTTTTTTACCCCGATACAGTTAGATTCCTTTAATATTAGGTATCTTCCAGTACAAATCAGATTCAATATATTTACTTAGCTATGTTCATTAAATAGTTGACATACTGGCACACTGTATTTTTCAGACAACACACTCTCAGAGCTCCAGATTCATTCCAGGGCAGCTACTAACTACTACTTTGTATCTGTATGTGAACACACAGTGTGTGTATCCAGTCCAGTTTACACATCCCTGGCTGTTGTAGCACCACAGGACAGAAGCATAAAACCTATCATGTCTACACTGAATGCATATTGTGTGCAGCCTATGACATCTCGCATTCACAGCAAGCAAAAACTACACAAACTTTAAAAAGAACTGTGTGTTCAGGAAAAGCATCTTTGTGTTATATTAAGAACAGTCTCACTCCATATGACAAGAATAGCACAGTAGCATAACTGACTGAAAGGTATCTGATTTACTGTGCAGTGTTTCATTGATATTTTGTTTCAGTCCTTTTACAGACACAATGCTTTGCCTTTACCTCTTCAAGTGCCACCCACACAGAGAAGAAGGCCACCATCTTGAGGATATGGAGCTCCAGTAGCCTCCAGAGAAACACTTGCACTTTGGTGAGAATGTCAGAGAACCGTCCGGACAGAACCAGTAACCTGTCCATCACCAGGCCCCACTTACTGGGCATCAGCTCCGCTGAATGAGAGAACAGAGGGATGAGGGGCAGACAGGAGAAACAGAGATCAGCAACTTATGTGACGTAACCACCATTGGGTATAGTACATACAGAAACGACCGCTACACTGCATCAATGTTTAAGCCCAGGGGAAATCATTATAGGTTTTCAAGAAAAGGTTTGCTCATTTAGAAACACCCAAAGTTCAAGATAAAAAAAATTAAAAGATTAAGTAAATAAAAACCCTCCTGTAAACTTTGAATCCTCTTCAAAATTCACACTGGACAAAACACTTTATCCAAAGTGTCCAATTCACAACAGCTCATCTATAAAACTTTTCATAAAACCTGCTGCTATGTTTTTTCTTTTTTGTTAGTTTGTTTTAACACTGTATTCTCTACAATCACACTAAAACTTGGAGCTGCTATTTCTTTCTCTCATTATGCAAATACTGAGGCAGTATTGCTAAAAGTGTACAACACTTAGCCCTGAAGAATGACGAAGCAGGGATTCATCTATACAATGAGGGCACTGATCAGTTTCATAACGGCCATGCTACTGCTCAGGTAATTACCAGTTCAGACACAACAAATGTACATTATAAAGTAACAACACATTTCTTTGAATACAGTTGACAAATTTGATGACCGCCTGTATCCACAGCTGTTATAGAAAACTAATTATTCTTCTACTTAGCTTTATGTCTAGAAGTCTTTGTTTCATCGTGGAAAATTATACTTAGTAAGTTGTGGGTCAATAAGCAGCAGTTTAATTGTGAAAAGGTGTATTTAATATAAACTGCAACTGTTGTTCTACCTTCGTCTTCATATTCCTCATCGATATTAGTCACCAGGTCCTCCTCTTCTAAGGTCGCCCCCATATTAGCAGCACCAGTCCGCTCAGCCCTCTCACTGTTCTTCTTCCTGGAGGCAAAATGGAAAAATACACAACTCTTAAGTAATATATACTAATGGGAAACACCACAACAAAACCCAGAGAGTTGAATATAAATTTCCATTTGTGATAATAAGCAGAGATATGATGACTGCATTCCAGTATTACATACTGTTCATAAAAGCAAAGAGGTGATCTGTGCTTCATTACTAAGAGTCAGCTTTTTGACTGACCATTGTGTTGCTGGACTTTCTCACCATGGGGTACATTGTCCTTGAAATTAAATAAATAAATAACCTGATCTTAATTCAATACAATTCAAATATGTATATCTCAAAATGGCCTGTTACATTGATTACACTTTTCATATGATATTTGCCTCTTAAAATTAATTTCACAATGATTGGATAGAAACCGCCTTACATAAAAAGAAAAACACAGTGCTTGTACAGGGCAAACGTTTCCTGAGAATCCATCCATTATCTATACCGCTTATTCCTGAAGAGGGTCATGGGGGTACGGAGCCAATCCCAGCTGACACTGGGCAAGACTGTGGGGTCCACCCTGGACAGGCTGCTAGTTTATCACAGGGCTGACATTTAGAAAAACAACCACACACACCCACACTCACTCCTAGGGGCAATTTAGAGTCATCAATCAGCCTAAGCTGCATGTCTTTGGACCGTGGGAGGAAGCTAGAGAGAACCCACACAGGCAGAGGGAGGACATGCAAACTCCGTACAGAAAGGCACCGGGAACCTTCTTATGACAGCACTAACCACTGCGCCGCTGTGCCGCCTTTCCTGAGAACCTAGAATTATTTTTGGGGGGATTTCAACACTACTGCAATGTGGTGGTCATTTCTGTATGCTCTGCACTCCATGGTGTTTATATTATGTCAACTTGTACAAAAATGCATGACAATGAAAACGCTTAAAACCAGGTTTCTGGGGAATCAGTTATTGGTGGGTTCATCATAAGCTTCATATTTTTGATTCTTCTGAATGACCTGGAGAGGCTGCGACTGATCTGCTGCATCAAGAGCATAAGATGTAAAACCAAACTTGAAAGTTGGCTCCTGTTTGGCAGGACAGTGATATTAGATAAGGAGGTGTGTGTCAGGATAGTTGTTGTGTAAATGTGATTTTTTTAAACCCCCACATACACATACACACAAAAAAACAACCTTTCTGGTTGAGTAGTGGGACAGTGGTAGTTGGTTTACTTTTGTATGGGTGTAACATGCTCCAGGTCAGTGATCCTCATGAATGGTTTATGGAAGTAGTGCAGCTGCAGAATGCAGGCAAGCAGGAAGAAGCCAGGGATCAAAATACTTGTGAAGAGCTCAGACAGAGCAAATGTCTCCAAACCGATAGCTGCAAGCCTGAGGGGGACAAGACAGCACAATTACACCTTCATTATTGTGCATGTTGCTTCATTGTGGTTTTTATAGTTCTTATTCCTTAATGAATGTGTTTAATTACCGCACAGTAAATCTGGACCCAGACAGTGAAAAAAATGTACACATTGCTCACAGAGTGGAAGGAACACGGGGTTAATAAGGATCCAGCAGTTTAAATATTACAGAATTTTTAATTTAATATAAAAATAAATTATAGATTAACAATCAGTAACAGCAGAACAGAACTATAGCTGAAAAGAGAGAAACATAACAGATCTAAGAGAAAGAATACACTCAAGCGTTTGCAACAGAACGTACTGTTCTTCTGTTAAACCAGTGAAGTTTCTCCAGTATCCAGGGAAGTCTTCAAACTGGTAAGTGTAGATGGAGATCAGCACCAGCATGGTGTAAGCTACAACGAGCCACCAGAAGAGCTTCAACAGACGCCTCCACAGAGAATAGTACACCTGAGAAATATGAATCATTTACAAAATTACAACATATTGTTGGAGTTAACTTTGAAATATAAGTGTTGACGTGATTGTTTAAAACAAACGTGTTACAGTTGTAGCTTTTGGTCACAAACCAAGTGGCAAGCAGAAAATGAGGATTCAAATATTGTTCTGAAGTCAAAATTGTGTTCATAAAAGTATCAGATGAACAATCTAAATAAACACTGAACAGTCATTAAAAACGAAGAGAAAGAACTTGAACACTGGTCTGTGGGCCGATTCCTACCTGATAGACACACAGGCAGAGCAGGAACAGCAGCATGTAGACAATCTTGTATCCAACAAGTTTTCCAGCAAAGGAGACCATGATGAACATCCCTCCACAAACATAGATCCAATATTTGGCGTAACAGCTCATCACCATGCCTCCCAGAACCTTAAGCACTGATTCATTACCAGCCCCCTCTTCTGACGAGAAGAAGAGGTTAAAGAGGAGAGGAAGAGGGGTTAGATGTTGATCGTCAAATGGAAAGGGACAATTTATCAAAAGGATACTGTCCTTGGTAAGATGGACAGGGATAGACAAACATCATCAGCTTTTGTATTCAACTGTCTGCGACTACGCAATAGATTTCATCAATCACCTGTGCACACTGCTGGTGGCAACAGAAAAGTCTATACTATTTAGTTTTGGTGATTTAATTTATGGTGATTAATGTTCAACCCAGTGTGAACAATGACCCCTGAAATAAATTATACCTCTGGAGGAAATTTTAAAGAATCATTTCAACCATGTTATAATAAAATGTTTTTCTTCATGTAACCTCAGTGATTTCTCTCCTGGTGGATAGTTTTACCTGTCACGTTTTGAGATGTCTGTCTCCAATTCAATGACGGTTCATGTAATTTAGCTACAAACTAATACTACCGCTTCACAGTTGTCACCATAACTCTGGATAACCCAGAGAACACACTGTCAGTATTTTTTGTACGTCACCTCTGACAAAAGACTACATATGTTTACTGGGTTAAATTTCTGTGTCTGGCTCCTTCAAATATCTCCATGAAAGCACATGGCTGTCATGTGTGTTATCTGAAAAGTAAAGATTTTCATTTTTATTCATTTAACACACTGTTGAAAAGTATACTTCATCATTCTGGTCAACTTGTTTCATAATGAGGAACTATATCACCCAGTGCAGCTCTGTGTTTCACTGACGTAGCTTTAATCATTCTTGAACAACAATAGAAGACAAGAACAACAGACAAGAAGCTAATCCACAATGGACAGACATTGACCGTGAGTAGGGGTAATTCATTGTTGGCTTTAGTCTCTGTATGAGGAGTGTGGAAAATAGTTAATAAAAATGACAAGCCGTATCCTTTAAATGATATTAATTAAGGGCATGGCTGCTTTGAGTGACAGGTGGAAGTCTCCCACCACAGGTGGCTAGCCACTAGCTGTCTAGTGAGCCCCACTCATGCTCTGCCTTGTTTGCCATTTTTGGATTAGTCAGAGTTCAAGTCAAGCACTACCAAGATGGTGACAGCCAGACCTGAGCTTCAAAACCACTCTTCAGAAAACCACTGGGTAATGTCATGAAGGGTTTGTCCATATTTTGGACAAGGAGTAGCATGTGGTCCAGCAGGTGCCCACACCTCAAATAACAGGCCCCACCCCTTTTATAAACCACAAGCTCCCTTTCAAAATATGTTTTGTTTTATTAAATCACTTAGCCATCGAAACAAAGTTTTTAAAAAAACTGCGTAATATGACAATTATACTCTATAACCTGCAGGTGTATTTTAACAAAACAGAGCAGGGCTCCAGCAGACGTAGTGCTCCTCTTCTGCTTCAGTGTCAAAATGTGTGTGTATGTAAAAGATGTCTGACCTCCTGTAGTAACTTCCTGTAGTGGTGTGGCCATGTTCCTCTTTCTGCTGAAGATTTCCTTCACTGACTGACGTACCAACAGCCAAAAAGTTAAAGTGAACAGGAGCTGGAGAAAGACAGGGACAAAAGGGGGAGAGAGATGGAAAAACATACAAAAAAACATGAGACTTAAGAATTTGGCTGACTGGGTTCCCGAGAAACTGAGAAAAATGTCTCTAACCAGCAAACTAACCCCTGGCTTTAATCTGCTGTTCAAATCAACAGAACTTTACATTTATTAAACCTACTGCTGAACTTGGAACTCTGTTGAGCACACTTGTGGAGCTGCACTCCCTCTCTGCAGGTATGAAGGATATACACTCAGTTGGCATTTTATTAGCTACACCTAGCTAAAACTAATACAATGTAGTTTAAACATTGTGTAGTAAATCCTCCCTTCATGACAGTGGCAATTCAGGCACTGTTGGACTTTGAAGCTGCTGGTTGCCTGGTGCCCTGAGGTGTTTCCCACTTTACCCACTTAGAGGTCAGTCTTATCGACCAGTCCTCTACCATGAAGGTGATAGTCTTCAGTTCATGTATGTAAGAAAATATTAGTGAAGTAGGGCAATGCCAGCAATACATACAGATCAGTAACTGAATTCATATGAAACATTCACTTCCCTTTTGTCTCACTCCAAATGAGTGAGACAAACATTATATTTAGCAGTTGTGATGTTTTCCCATCCAGGAGTCTGGCTCCAAAACTAGTGTTGATTGAAGGAATCTGGCTATGATACTGCATGTTATGTGGCACAGCCAGAAACAGAACTCATATTTTGCAAACAAGGCACATGTTCTAGCAGCTCGTGCCTGACAGTGCTGTGTAGCGAGATCTGGTTTGTAACACTCAACTCTCTGGACACGTTCCATCTTCTAATAGCCACTTTCTACAGCCAAGAGTAAGTGATGACAGATTAGTGTATTTCATGCTATAATGAAGCTGCGTTTAATATTTAAAATATGCACAATGTCACGTTATGGGCCAACTTTGATTTCGTCATGAAATCACCTACTATCTGTGCTCTCATCTTACCATAGCTCCCAGTCTTAGACAGGGGTACTGGGCTCTGTCCAGTCCCAGCTGTCTCAGACTCATGTGTCCCACAGTGGTGGGCAGTTCAGGCTGAAGCTCCATGCCCCAGACATACTGCAGACAGCACAACGCCAGGCCGTAGAGTAGGATGAATGGAGAGCACAGCGTGGCTGCCTGCTGTCTGCAAAAAGACATCACTAACTGAATACAGGTCTAAACCCTGGGTTCGGTCACAAATCTACACAACTGTGTAAAAACAGACAACAAAGGCACTGTTTGTAGGAATAAACAAATACATTCAACAAGCACCAATTAAAACAGTCACAGTTAAAGGTAATCAGACTGATTCATTGATTTGTTCTGTCACAGCTACAGGTGTCAACAGTACCTGGCACGCAGGATCCAGATGAGACAAGCCCAAAGCAGCAGCACAAAGGTTAGCCAGCTGTGGTACATGATGCTCCACACCTAAATCACAAGGAAGCAGTTCATAAGCAAAGGAGCAATTCAGTTTGCAAAATCCTTATTATGGTGCTGTGTTGGTGCATAGTTACTATAGGTTCATAGTAACAAAGTAAGCGTCAACACCGCTGTGATCATAACTGACGCAAGTCTGGCTGTGTTAACTGAGTAGATAGGCAGAAATAGCAAAGTATACTCTTGATTTGATTTGATTTGATTTGATTTATTTATTCTTTCAAGCATGTAAAGACAGTTGATATGTCAACACACATAATTTTACACATAATCCAACAAATGCTAATCCAATATCAATGTGCTTATACCTAGTACATGCTTGAATGGAGTAGGAAGAAGTCAGACTTATCCAGTCCTACCCCATGACATCATCTTACCATCATTGGTTTGCAAGCAGTACTCTACATA